TACCGTCCATCCGTTGAGGCCTCAAGAGTGAAGACCCCAGAAGGAGGAATTCTGCCTCCAGACGGCCTCTGGTCTCGCGACTCCAACGTCAACTCCTGCTAGAGTTTCCAGCCTGCCCCGCAGCTTCCAGACTTACCAGGCTCCACAAGCATGTGAGCCAATTCCTTGAATAGACCTCGCTATAAATACATGCACACCCCGTTGTTCCGTTCTTCTGGAGAACCATGGCAGCCTTTGAGTAGGAAGGAAGCTAAACCAAAATTTCACGAGAGGACAGGTGATTGTCAGCGTCCATAGTCAACGTGGCTTCCGGGCACAGAAGCTCTGAGCAAACGCTTGCACCCAGGACACGAGTGGCCTGTGACCTTGGCCAAGTTACTTCACAGTCTAAGCCTCAGTTTTCTCATCTGCGAAATGAAGATATTACCTGTTTCAAGAGGAAATAATTATTCTTGTGGGAATTGGAGGAGGTACTACACGGAAAGGTTTTGACACAGGGCTTGCACGTGGGCAGGCTCACGGATTCCTGCTAAGCGCTCTGCCGTGGTTCACACTGAAATGAGGACAGAGCTGTAGGGGGCTTCTGTGGCAGCCCCCAAGGAGGGCGACTTTGGCCAGGAGCCCTGACATAAAGCAAAGGCTGGTTGCAAATGAAGCAGGAGACAATGAAAAAGAGAAGGGACAGAAGGAAGATGGCCTGAGGGAGGGAAGACACAAACCGGACCAGCTGGAAGGAAGAATCCCACCACGACAGCAGGAGATGCCAACGTGTTGGTCGTGGAGCCACGGACTCTGAGCTGGAAGAAATGTCAGGAAACTGTGTGATGTAGCTGCTTGTTTTATTACTTCTGGGTCACAGAAAAGACAGAACAGGCACAGGAAATGAGTTAGGTGCGTTTAGAGATAACCTAAAGGCAAGGGAACTGTGGAGGAGTAGCTTGTTTTATTACTTCTGGGTCACAGAAAAGACAGAACAGGCACAGGAAATGAGTTAGGTGTGTTTAGAGATAACCTAAAGGCAAGGGAACTGTGGAGGAGTTCTAAGCCAGGCGGTAACGTGATCCCACCCACATCGTGGAAGGTCACTGTGCCTGCACTGGGGACAGAAAGGAAGGATGTCAGAAAGCCAGGCAGGGTTCCTGGTGATGGTTGGATCAGGGAGGGTCTGGGTGAGGGGCTGCAGGGGGACAATGAAGAGCCATTTGGAGACATAGTAAGAGGACTTTGTCCAATGGTGACCCAACAAGATAAATGACAAGCGTTTCTGTCACGTCTTTCTCATCTCCATTTTAGGTGCTCGGACATCAGGGCCTGCTGACACTGGAGGAAGTGCACTCCATCAACAGACTGTAAACGACTCACCCACGAGCACTTTCACATGCAACACAACCCGTCCAGAGCCCACCCCCACCTCCCACTGTCCCCTGCCCTACTCACACCAACAAGGACCCGCCTCTGTGTCCCCAGAACACACAGCCAGGACAAGCTCAGCAGGTCCTGCTGGACGGGGGAGACTGGAAGTAGTTCCACTGCGGGCCCTGCAGGGATTTGGGGAGGAGCAGGAGGCCTCTTTCAGTGTAGCGTGGATGTGAGTTTTAGGGTCCAGGTTGGGGTGTCGTGTCACAATGATAAATTGAGAACTTCTGGAATTCTAGAAGTTCCTTTTCCCTGGGCAGTGTATCTGAGTTTGTTCGGGCTGCTGTAACAGAAAACCACAGTCTGGGCAGCTTTTCAGCAACAGAATTTATTTCTCACCATTGTGGAGGTTGGAAGCCCAAGATCAAGGCGTGGTGGATTCAGTGTGTGGAGATGGCTGCTTTCCGGTTTACAGTCAGGGCCTTCTGCGTGTCCTCGCCTGGCGGAAGGCAAGGCACTCTCCAGACCTCTTTAAAGAGGGCCCTAATCCCATTCTTTTTTTTTTTTTTTTTAACAGTCGACTGTATTTATTGGATACCACCTGTGTGCCAGGCTCCCAATACACAGCACCTCCCCTACACACGCACCCCATACACCTGCCCCCACCCCCACACTTTGGTTCCACTACAACCTGCGATATCTCAATCAACTGTGTGAGCCTCAGAACAAATGCGCCCCACTCTCGCCCTGGGCCAAGGCCTCCCTTAACAAAACCCCAACATTGGAGGTCACACCCAGGAACCAGCAGACACCTGGAAGGAAGGCAGTGCCCTCCCCAAACACATACCCTGGGGGCAGGGGAGCTGGAACACCCTGAAGACCTCCAGCCACAAACACCCTCCACAGATGCATGTCCACCCAGCACAGCTCCAATTGGCTGGTCTGAGTGGGGGACAGAGGTAGGGGTGATGGTGACACGTGCTCACAGACGTGCCCTAACTTAACTCCTCCAAAAGACTCTTGTTACCTTTGGAAGTGCAAACGTAGTGGGGGATTCAGCATAAGGGACAATTCTGTGCAGCTGCACCATCCAGAGAAGATAACAACAGAGAGGACCCTCGCACTTGGGCTGCCGTCTTTTGTCCCCGGCCGCCCTTGACCCAGTCCCTGCCAGGTGCTCAGCGTGTGCACACCACTGATCTTGGGCAGTGCTTGTGGCCAAGCTCACTTCTCAGAGGCGGCAGCTGAGGTCCAGGCCCTTGCTGACCCTGAAGCAATCATGACCTGTGGCTGAGCAGCTGTGGGTGTGTGCACACATGTTCCACATGCACAGGGTCTGCTTGGATGTGGGGCCCCCAAGCATGCTGGGGCGGGGCTTCTGCCTGAGTAGATGTTTTGGTTCAGCTGTGGGTGTGTGCACACATGTTCCACATGCACAGGGTCTGCTTGGATGTGGGGCCCCCCAAGCATGCTGGGGCGGGGCTTCTGCCTGAGTAGATGTTTTGGTTTGTCCCTGCCTGGAGGGGAAGGTTCCCTCCACTTGTCCCACTCCAGCGTTGCCATTGAGTCACCATCAGCCCCAGGCAGGGGATTCTCTGCGCCTCCTGGTGTTTGCAGAGATCTGCGTGTGGGAGATCCCCTGTGTGTGGGACGGTGATCAGGCATAGGCTGGTGGCTGTGAGGACAGGGCCGAGGTAGGGGTTCCCTCCTCCCAGCTCTGGTGTGGAGGTTGTTGCTATGCAACTGAGTCTGCGTGGGGGTGGGCGCTGTGGCCCTGCCCCTTCCACAGTTTCCGAAACCCACGTGTGCAGCTGCAGCGCCCGCACTGGCCAGCACCTGGGCCGGCCACAGGCATCTCATGGGCGTTGCAGGGTCTCTGGCATTGCGCAGACAGCCAACAAATGCCCTATGTGCGATGCATGTTGCTGCGTGTTCCAGGTGTGTGCTTGCCTGTCCATGCCTCAGTAGCAGATCTCACCATCCAGGTCTCTGCAGTGTTGTGAGTTCCCAAACCATAAACAGGTGTGTGACCCCAGGGACAGGCACTGGGCTCCCATAGGCCTCTGCCCAGACACAGGCCCTGGACACCACTGTGCGTTGTCTGGGTCCCATCCACAGCCTGTCTGTCACAGGTGCATGCAGTTTGGCCCCACATGACCTGGTCAGGGTTGCCAGATGCCCACCGAGTGCAGGGTGTGACTGTGTGTGTGCCCAGTGGGTATGCTGCAGGCAGACGTGGGTGTGCCCTGTGTGACCTGGTGCAGGATGTGTGTGCTGGGGCATCCTTCGGTGGCCCAGGCCTGGCCTTTGAGCCACTAGGATGGCCTGGCATTCCTGGGCTGTGACTGGGGGAGGGGCGGAAGGTAAGTCAGCTCTGGCCCAGCCTGATGCCCCTGCCACACACCCCTGCCTGTCCTCCCCAGCCATGGATGGAGACCCCCTCCTAGGAACTGGAGAGAAACTGAGGCCAGGTGCAGCTCTGATCTGGCTGTCCTCTGTTGCAGGCAGCAGAATCTCAGGCACCTGGGGCCCCCTGGGGAACTGAGATCCCCCCACTTCTGCACACGTAGGAACTGGGGAAGGGGGCAGGCTTAACCTTTCCTCCTCTGGTCCACCCGGAGAGGCCATGGTTGCTGCTGACATGGCACACGTGCCCACCCAGGGATGTGAGTCACGCCACAAGGCACAGGCACATAGGCTCTGTGGGCCCAGCCCACCCCAGACACACACACCCAGCCCTGTCCCCGGCTGCTCCCACATCCTGATCGTGCACACGTTCAGTGGGAGCGCCAAGCCCTTTGTGTTGTACACGCCCCTCGTGTTGTATATACAACACCCTGCAAACGTTCCCTTGTCTTTCCCGCCCCCACCTACATACTCCTATGTGCCCTGCACACCAACACACACGTGCCCTGGGTTGTGTGTATGCACCTCCCTGCCTGTGTGCACATGCACACAGTGCCACTTTCGTGTCTGCACAAGCATGTGTCTCTCGTAATCCTTGTTTCTCCATCTCGGTATCCATGAGTCTCCCGCTCACAGGCACATGTCAGCACATCTGACAATATGCACACACAGCCTCCACATCCCCTACCCCGGCTCTGCGCCCTGCAGATTTGGGCCATCTGGGCCACCTGACGTCTCTGCCAGGATGGTCCCACTTCTACTCCTAATCCTTTTCATGGGGGCTCCACCCTCATGACCCAATCACTTCCCAAAGGCCCCATCTCCTAAGACCATCACCTTGGGGGTGAGGATTCCAGCACATGAATTTGGGGGACACAACATTCAGACAACAGCACCTGGTTTTTCTTTGTCCACCCACAAGGAAAGGGTGCTGTGGTCCTGTTTTCCTCTCACGCCAGCCCCAGCAGTGTGTTCTGATGTGGCATCGTGCACAGGGACCACAGTGTGGCAGAGCCCTTGCTGGTTTCAGGTTTGTCTCCTCTCCCAGATTCTGCTGAAAACGGGGAGGGTGGCCACGCTCTCTGAGCCACAACCTGAAAGTGGAGAAATTGCTCCTTCTTTCTCCTGCTTTGCTAAAACTCGTAGCCCAAATCCTCACTCCTCTCCCCGGACCCCTGCAAGGCGCGGCCAGCAGAGCTTCTTCCTTATCTCCGTGCCTCAGAACAGCGTGTTTCTTCCAGATGAATGAAGAGGCTTTCAGCTCCCGGGTGACAGATGCCAGCTGAGAACTTGCTCTTCCAGGTGTGTCCAGCGTCACATGAATCACCTGCCTGGATGAGCCGCAGAACCCCACTGCTGCCCTGTCCTGGGCAGTTCTTTTCCCATTATTGGGTGGGCGAGGCAGGGCCAGCGATGCCTGAAGGGCCCTGGGGATTCCAGGGTGAGGCTAGAGATTTATGGCAGGTGCAGGGACACAGTTGGTCCAGGTGGGTGGAGACATGGCAGAGAGAAGCGCACAGACACCCGGGCAGGGTGGCAGGTGTGCAGCAACCTTCCTGCCATGCAGCTGGATCCCAGGCAGGGGACACTTCAGCCTTGCAGACAGGTGGGTGGGACCCCCACAGTGACTGTGGGAGAACTTTCCTGTAATAGCTTCCTGGGGTAGGGTGGAAAGTGTGGGTCCAGGCTTGGCAGTTGGCACATCTGTGGGACAGTTTAAGCAGCTGGGTTACGGGAATCAGGGGAAGCTGAGTCAGAAACTGGAGTCCTCCGCAGGCTGCCAGTCTCTGCTCTTCACATCAGCCTTTGGTCCTCCCTTTCTCTGTCCATGGCCATTGAGAGTCCTGCTCAGTGCCTGGTGCAGTGTTCTCGAAGAAGATGGTGGGAGGAAAGCACAGGTGCTGTTGAAGGTGTGGAGAAATCGGAGCCCTGCGCACCGCTGTGGGGACATGAGATGATGCAGCCACTGTGGAAAACAGTGTGGGAGTTGCTCAAAACACTAGAAATAGAGTTACCATCTGATTCAGCAATTCCATAAGATGGTGGGAGGAAAGCACAGGTGCTGTTGAAGGTGTGGAGAAATCGGAGCCCTGCGCACTGCTGTGGGGACATGAGATGATGCAGCCACTGTGGAAAACAGTGTGGGAGTTGCTCAAAACACTAGAAATAGAGTTACCATCTGATTCAGCAATTCCATTTCTGGGTTTTTATCTGAAAGAATTCAAAGAGGGGAAGGGACCCAAAGAGATATTTCTACACTTCACCATAGCAGCACAAGACACAGCAGCTGAAAGGTGAGAGCAGCCCACGTGTCCATCAGTGGATGAACCAGTGCGGTCCATCCGTGGAACAGGTATGATTCACCCATGAAAAGGAAGGAAATTCTGACAGGCGTTCCAACATGAACAAGCCTGGAGCACGTGATGCTGAGTGAAATAAGCCAGTCACAAGAGGACAAATACTGCATGATCCCATTTATATGAGGTCCCCAGAGTGGTCACATTCACAGCGACAGAAAGTAGGAAGGTTGATGTTAGGGGCTGGGGGAGGGGAACGGAGTTGGTGTTTAGTGGGGACAGAGCTTCAGTCGGGAAACATGAGAAGGTTCTGGAGATGGTGGTAGTGATGGTCACACAACAGTGTGAATGTGCTTCATGCCACACAACTGTGCACTTAAAAATGGTTCAAATGGCAAATTTTATTTATATTTTACCACAATTTAAAAAAAAACAGAAAAAGAATGGAAAGATGTTTACATAATTATCTAGCCTCATGAATGACTGTATTTTAAGAATTATACAACAATCACAAATATTGATAATATGTATGTGACATCTAATCACAGAATTTAAGGTACATCGCACCTGGTTTGCCTGGGGTCAGCACTTGATTGAAGGAATTTGCAGAGAATCGAGAATTTTAATGTCACCGTTATGCTATTTAAGGAAGCGTGACTATTTTCTTCTTATTTGCATATACTATTGTTTAAGAACATGTATTAAGTGTTTATGTTAATCTATTGTTAGCTAGGTTAATTTATCTGTTTGTTATTATTACCAGCAAAACAGTGAAAAGCATATTAGGGAGTTTGGAAAATAAAGAAAACATTACCCACAACCCTACCACCCTCTTACAACTTGACAGATGATTGATTTATTTAGGACAGAGAAAATCCAGGGTTTTTTTTTTTTTTGTCTCCCCCATACATGTTTTATTTAGTATTCAGACGCCTGAGAGTTGAACAGTGACGTAGCCAGGGCATTGGATATTCAAGTCCATTCAGTCCTCAGATTCTCTCACATTCGGTCAGTGCTATTCTGTTATTTTATTATTTTCTTGGGCAACGTGCCACTTAAAACTGTTTTTGCTCATTGAACATTGTGTTGCCAGTGAATCCTTAACATTTTTGTTACTGTGCAAAGCTTTCTCCTCTCAGGCTCTGCAGTGGATTGAATTACGTCCCAAACTCACTGAAGCTTGAATTGTGTCCCCCAAGCTTTATGTATTAGAAACTTGGCCCCACTGTGACTGATAAAGGGGTGGGAAATCCTATTATGATAATTGAAAGGTGGAGTCTTGGAGAGGTGACTGGATTGTAGGACCATGCAGTAGTGAATGGATTAAAAATGGTGATCAGGGGCGTGGTTCTGAGGGCTTTAAGAGAATCTGTCTTTCGCTCACTCTCTGTCTCTCTCTGCTTCCACCATCTTGCAATGTGAGACCCCTGAGTCACTGTCGCCACCACCAGATGGACTTTGGACTTCCCAGCCTCAGAAACTGTAAGCAATAAATGTCATTTTTCTATATAAATCACCTAGTTTCAGGTATTCTGTTATAGCAACACAAAAAGGACTAATACAGGCTCTTTGTTTCTTTAAATGTGCAGTTGCGTTTACCTGACAGCCGGGGCTTGCCAGAGCCCCAAGTCCACAGTCATAGTGGAGCAGAGTCACACATGCAGGTGGCCGTGGCGGCTCTAATGCCCTCTGAGTCCTGTGCTCTGAGAACCTGCCAGATGAAGGACATTACTCACTCCCACTCATCTTAAACAAAAAAGTTTACTGGCCACTAATACTGACCTGAGCTGTCTGGAACTTAACACACCAATTTCTGGCAAAAGGCTCCTGGGAAGTTTCACTCCTAAGGACTGACACTGTTAAAACCTAATCCTAGGATGAGACATGGAGCCACCAAGCCCAGCCCCACACTCAGGCTGGGAGACGCTTCTGTTCCTCTGCGACCCCTGCTGGGGGTGGGTTCACATGAGGGCGGTATCGCTGTCAGCATCTGAAGCTTCCATCTGTGTAAAGATTTCAATGACACCAGCCCAGGGTGTTCCATCCTTGGTCTTCCAGGTGACACTTGGATTGTCCGTGCTGATTTGCCCCTGTCAATCTTACCTTTGCATTTGTTTCTAGGTATAGCCTTGACTCCTGAGAAGGGGTCAAATTACTCCCTTCCCCCAGCTCCTTCTCCGTCATCTATAATGTCTAACTGGGAGTTAGAGCAGTTAAGGAGCTAAATCGAGTGGCATTTTGTAACTGTCCTGTGTGGAAGCCCCACCCCTAGCGTGGTCCGATCCAGAAGCTTTGGGCTGTTAAAGCGCTGAAATAATACTGACCACATTCACCTGGGGGAAACATTGGTGATTATTACAGCCTTATTGACCCATATGATTTTAACTGAAAAGATTGGTTACGTTTCCCCCGAGAAGGCGTAAGAATCAACCTTAGCTTTTTGAAAGCTGTTCAGGTTTTATGAGAAAGACCATGCGTGGCAGGGCACAGTCCCATCCTGAATCTAGCACTTCTCACCCGTGTGCAGTGGCTTGGTCGGACCCTCCCTGTGACTGCTCGAGGTCTCAGTAGGCGCGGCAGGTGGAATAGACACCCTGTGCGGTCAGAGATGCTGACGCTGAGCCCCGAGTCACAGCATTCATAATTTGCCCCTTTCTTTATGAAGCTTTTCTGGCTACTTTTGCTCAAAAGGGGTCACTCCAGTTTGGTTTTCTGATGACTGCTCAGGGGGATGTCCAGACCAGGCAGAAGCTGGAAGTGAATGATTCTGCAAACTGCCATTCATTGAACAAAAGCCCATCTGTTTATACTCTGTGCTGTGAGAGATGCCAGGAACAGAAACATGGAGAAAACCTGATGTTCCAGAGACAACATCTGGAGGAAGAGAGCACGTGCCCCGAGGAAAGGTCTATAGGAGGCATGTCCCACGGAAGGTGGGGGGATGACGATCTCTGGGCCCTTATGACTGGGAAGCCCATCGTGACAGCTGCCCTGGGAGCATCCTAGAGAAGGAGACCAGATATCCGGTGGTCCTGCATTGCCAGCAGCAGGACCAGCTCATAGGAGGGCGTGTAGGGAAGCAAGGCCAGGGTCCACGCAGGAAGTGTGAGTAGTTGGTGGGACAAGGGTGTGTTTTGCTGGAAAGGAGGCTGGAAAAGGAGCAGCGGCTGGAGCAGGAAAGGTTGGTTGTGATCGAGGGGTTTTTCATATTTTCCTGTGGACAGCTGACTGGCTTTGTAGACAACAGAGACAAATAAATGACTTCAGGGACTGGGCGGTAAAGTGTTGGCCCACCTGCGAGGTGACAAACCTTGGTGGCACTGAGACAGAAAATCCAATTGAATTCTCCTGGGCTTTTCCTGGGCACAGTTCTCCTAAGCATTAAACATTACAAAGAAAAAAGGAAGAAAAATGAAGTGTTTGGATGAGAAAGAAGACAAACACAGTCACCGAGCTCTTCACCGAGCTGGAGACACAGTAAGGCCGGGTGGTAGAGGGGGCTTGTTCCAGCAGCAGAAATGGTGCCTGTGATTTTACCATCAGCACAGTTAACCAAACATTCGGATGAACACAGTGAGAGGACATTTGAGAATCCCGGCGGAAAAGGTTACATGAATCTGTGCCGAAGGAGTTGGCTTTGATCCAGATACGGGATTAAAGTTGGAGAAAGTGATGCGATGCTTTCCGCTTTTCGGGATGACCAGTTTCTGCTTTGAGGAGGCCGACAAAGAGAAGTGACTTTGCCAAGCAAACCTACTGCTTTGTTTCTCAATCACGATCATGTCTGTTCTAGAAAACCATGAAAGAAGAATTACATTTAGCAAACCGACATGTGAAGAGATGCTCAATCTCCCTTCTAACCAAAGCCACGCAGACGGAAATATCAGGAAAGAATCTCTCGTGCCCATAGACTTTGCCGCAGATTGGNAAGAAAAACCTGCATTAAATGTGTACACAAGTGAAGACAGGCATTGCAACACTGTTAATTATAAATAATTGTGAAAA